GACCAGGATGGTCTCGATCTCTTGACCTCGTGATCCACCCGCCTCGGCCTCCCAAAGTGCTGGGATTACAGGCGTGAGCCACCGCGCCCGGCGAAGAATAATTTTTATCAGAAATTTCTGATAGCCACATTTGTTGGACACTTTTCATTTGTCTTTGTGTGTGTGTCTTGCTCTGTCACTCAGGCTGGAGTGCAGTGGTACAAACACTGCTCACTACAGCCTTGACTTCCTGGGCTCAGGCAGTCCTCCTACCTCAGCCTCCCAAGCAGCTGGGACTGCAGGCATGCGCCACCATACCTGGCTCATTTATTTTTAATTTTTGTGGAGATGAGGTCTTATATTGCCTGGGCTGGTCTTGACCTCCTGGGCTCAAGTGATCCTCCCACCTTGGCCTCCCAAAGTGTTGGGATTACAGACATGAGCTACCTGTGCCCAGCCTGTCATCTTTCTTGATTCCTATGAATATCTACTGTGCTTGGCTTCTTCTTTCTTGATATTCTTCTTTGTAGGCTGGGAAGATACTGCTCTGTGGTATTCTGTCCTCCCATTCTCCCATCGAAGTCCTGACCAGGCCTGACCCTGCTCTAGCTTCTGAGATCAGATGAGATAGGGTGTACTCAGGGTGGCATAGCTGTAGATCCTCTTGGTATTGTTTTTTTTTCTTTCGAGACAAGGTCTTACTCTGTTGCCCATGGGGAGTGCAGTGACGTGATCACAGCTCATTGCACCCTCAGCCTCTTGGGCCCAAGTGATCCTCCCACCTTAGCCTCCTGAGTAGCGGAGATGAACTTTATTTTTTGTAGAGGTAGGGTTTCACTGTATTGCCCAGGCTGGTTTTGGACTCTTGGGCTTAAGCATTCCTCCTGCCACAACCTCCCAAACTGCTGGGATTATAGTTGGGAGACACTGTGCTCAGCCTCTCCTCCCTTTATTCATGTCTCTGAGTTTTTTTTTTTTTGGCTGGATCTCTCCCTTAATTCTGTTCTTGACTTTATTCCTAGGTAGGTGAGGTAGGTGATCTTTTACCCTTTTTTTTTTTTTTTTTTTGAGACAGAGCCTTGCTCTGTCACCCAGGCTGGAGTGCAGTGGCGTGATCTTGACTCACTGCAACCTCCACCTCCCGGTTTAAGTGATTCTCCGGCCTCAACCTCCGCAGTAGCTGGGACTATAGGTGTGTGCCACCACACCCGGCTAATTTTTGTATTTTTAATAGAGGCGGGGTTTTGCCATATTGGCCAGGCTAGTGTTGAACTCCTGAGCCTGTGATCTGCCCGCCTAGGCCTCCCAAAGTGCTGGGATTACAGGTGTGAGCCTCTGCACCCGGCCTACTTTTTTTTCTTACTGACCTCCAAATCTTTATAGCTCCAGCCTCTTTTTGAGCCCCTTAGACACAAATGTATTTCGGGGTCAGGTACAACCCAGAAAATTCACCTCTCCTTCAGTTCCTCCTGCTCTGTACCTTACATGTATAGCACAGCTGTAAAGTTAGACCTGGATTCCAAATCTGCCTCTGCTACTTACTAGCTGTGGACCCTAAAGGACAAGTTTATTACAAGAAAAGTATTTAATCCTTTCATCTCTATGTAAATTAACAGTCTCCATGTCATGGGGGCTTTGTAAAAGTTCCGTGAGCCATTGTGTACCTCACTGCGTACCTGGGACAGTGCTTGGCACTTAGTCAGTGGCATCTGTCATAACTGCCACCTAGGTGACTAGAACTTTTCCATAGCATATTGTCAAGTCTAAATTTTAAGCCTCTACAAACTAGTTCTGCCTTTGTGTCCTTAGAACCCTTTCCTGTGACCTTATGCTCTGTTGATTCTGTCACCCAGGGTGGAGTGCAGTGGTATAATCACAGCTCACTGTAGCCTTGACATACTGAGCTTAAGTGATCCTTCTGCCTCAGCCCCCTGAGTATCTGAGACCACATGTGTGTACCACCATGGCTGACTGATTTTATTTTTTTGTAGACACACGGTCTTGCTATGTTGCCCAGGCTGGTCTCAAACTCCTGGGCTCAAGTGATCCTCCCACCTTGGTGTCCGAGTGTTGGGATTACAGGTGTGAGCCAGCGTAGCTGGCCTTAAGTTCTTTGGTTGTTTTGCCTCTGGTTTTATCCCGTCTGGTATCTGGTTTATAGCAGCTGTTTCAAACACCCCAAGTAATTTTGGTGAGAATAAGATTCGGCAGGGTAGGGAGGATGGGGACAGGTTCTTGGGGTGCGTGAGTGAGCCCTGCTTCCTCAGCCCTCCTGCCAGGCTCAGGCTGCTGGTGGTTTTTCTTAACCTGCCACTTGCTTTGATCTCTCACTTCTTCCACATTCCTGGGTACCCCTCCCACTTCCCTTACCCCAAACACTGGCTTCCTACCTAGATGCTAACTTGGTGGGGAGCTGCAGCCCTGCTGTTGAAATGGAGGTAATGTGGGCCTGGGATTTCTGTCTTTTTCAGAACAGTGCAACCCTGAAACTCGTCGTGTTGGAAAAAAAATAAGATCAACTCCTCCTACCAAAATTATAAAGACTGTGGAAAACAAAGGTGGGTTGGTTGACTTGCAAGGGACTTCACATAGAATAAGTTGAAAGGAAGGAAAAAGGAAGACTGGGGCTGGGCAAGGAGTCCAGAACAATGGCTTCCTTGAGAAGCAACAGCTTCTTTAGCCCTGAGCACCAGGAGTGGGGCCATGTCATTATGGGTGATGAGCAACCTGAAAGCAGAATTCAGAAGAAAAACAGGCAGAAAAACAGATGAGAAAGGCCATGGCTCTAGTTTGGGGGTTTGTGGTGGGCCCTGCTGGCAGGAGCCTTCTCTAGCCCACAGATGCTGGTCTCCTTCCAGGAATTTGGCAGGGGCTATCCGTTTACCTGAGTTCAGCCCAGGCAGGGGACTTTGTCTCTTGCTGCTGCTGGGGGTTCAGAGCTTGTAGCAGTAATTGGCTGTCGACCCATCCGTCCAGCCATCTAAATGTTCTTTAATACCTCCTGGGTGTCATGCACTATGCCAGGCTCTGAAAGCAGCCCCTCTGATACCACCAAAGAGGTACTGAATGTTCCCTGCAAAGTCATGGCCTATTTTTGCCCTTTGAGAAATTTCCAGGTTGGGTTCAGGCAATGCCAGCAGTTTCTGCCCATGTTGAAAGCACAGGAGATTCTGCTTGGCTGGTTTTTAAAGAGCATCCAGTTTATTGGCCTATCACAGGGGTTCATTAGTCCCAGTTCCTGGGAGGGCCAGGGCCTAACTGAACCCTACAGAGAAGATGCTAGAAATGCAATGACATATGGAGCCATGTTGAGGTGGGAAGGGGTAATAAGTTATTAGACAACCAGGGTCTAGGCCTAAAGACCACAGGACCACATAATACAGTAAGGATGTGAACACCAGGGTGCATTTGTTAAAGTCACCAATTCTTTCACTTAGCCTCCCCCTTCTAAAAAAGGAGTGTTAGTATAGTCACAAACTCCGGAGAAGAGGATTTTTGTCTGTACCTGCCTGAATACCCCTATCACTATCATGTGTGTGCATACATTTTTATCCTGTTGAACTAGTTAAAATCTGATGTCCAGGCCTCCTTTTTAGTCATGAGCCATTGACTTGTTTTGTATTCCTTAGATGATGATGACTGTGTAGCTGATTTTCTCAATAGTGATGAGGAAGAAGACAGAGTTTCTTTGCAGAATTTAAAGAATTTAGGTAAGTCTGTGCTGTGCTTGTCAACTGTTGAGATATTTACTGTGTTGTAAGGATTGTGGTTTTTTTAAAGTTACTAAATCCTTGATTAAGCGTGGCATGCAGGGCCCTTACTATCTAGTCACATAATTCTGTAAACATACGGGTTTCACACCTCCCAGACTCCTCACACAGTTCCTTCTGCCTGGAATCCTACTGGTCTTGCTGGTTAACAAAATTCTGCTCCTCCCCTCAAGGCTTGATTCAAGTTTTCTTTGCTCAGCTAGTCTTTTTTTGACCTGTGTCTCTTTCAGAATTAGGTATTTTTTTGGTTTCCCTTAGCAGCTTGGACTTATTAGTAATAAATCACTTAACATTTATGATAATTTGTCTCTCACATACCGATTTATACAGCAGGGACCTGTATTAGATCCCCAGTGCTCAGTCCAGCCATTAATGTAGACTGGTTATCACGATTTGATTTTTTTAAGGGGAAACAGGTTGTTAATGCCCCACATTTTTGTAGTACTGCTTATTCAGTCCACGTAATACTCTGTTTCTTGTATATGGTGTCTATTAATTTCATTCTTCCCAGTTCACAGAATCACAAAAGGTTATGCGCTGCAGTTAGTCTCATGGTAATGATTAGACTGAGTTTGCAGCTGAGCTAGTAATAGGTGTGAAAAATTTTATAGACTGCAAATTACCATGCAGGTGGTTTTGTTGGTTCGCTGCTACTGGTCCTACTGCACGCTGAATCACATGCTTAGAAATCATTCACAGTATTTGGTATAACTGCCCTCTGCAACTTTTATACCTATAAGGAAAGAAAACATGCCAGCAGCTTAAAGATCTAAAGTCAGTGACACTGACTTCTCTTTGTGATTGTGCTGATAAAGCATTTTTTCTTAGCTGAAGTGGCACGAAGTTACATTGTTTACAAAGATACCAAGAACTGGTCTCTGTTACTGCATTTAATATGGAAACTGATCTCACCATGTTGCCCATGCTGGTCTTGAATTCCTGAGCTCTACCCACCTTGACCTCCCTAATTGCTTTTACAGGCATAAGCCACCATGCCTGGTGATGGTTTTATCACACTTGAAACATTTCTTCTCTCTTCAACCATCTCCATGTGTTCCCACTTGAACTCAGAGTAGCTTTTTTTCTTGTTAATTTTTAGGGGAATCTGCAACATTAAGGAGCTTACTGCTTAATCCACACCTCAGGCAGTTGATGGTCAGTCTCGATCAGGGGGAAGACAAAGCAAAGCTCATGAGAGCCTGCATGCAAGAACCCTTGTTTGTGGAGTTTGCAGACTGCTGTTTAAGAATTGTGGAACCATCGAAGAATGAGGATTCTTAACATGGACTACTGTGCTGCTTGCTTAAGCTCATGTTGGACTCCCAGAACCTGCCTACCTGCCCTCTCTGCAGGAGACCAGCTCGTCTGGGGGGCCCCAGGCAAAAGAAGTTTCCAGGATGCTGGCTGATGTAGGCTATACAGGCCTTTACAGGCATGGATGTGGGCTTATGTTTCAGGCAGATGTGGGGTCCTTAAGGTGGCAAATCCTTTATGGAGAGAAAACTTGACATTCAGATGGTTGTTCTTAAATGTTTTACTTTTCGTACCATTGACAGACATCATAAATGGTATTAAGCTTTACGCTTGATATGGAGCTAAATTTGAACAGTGTTACTAAATAAAATCAAGATGTGATTTTATTGTACACTGGGTTCATAATTTGAAATTACATTAAATAAATTAACAACTTATTAAATACTAAAGTTTTCTTCCTTTTTAAAGGAAATAACTATAAAATTTTCCCCAGCCCAAATTCCAGTGCCAATTTTAGGCCAACTTTGCCTGTTTTCTTCCAAAAGTGCTTATGTGGAATGGGGTTCCTCACTGTAGTGATAGTCATGACTGCTGCTGAGTTTGATATGTGAAGGTAGAGGAACATGACCCTGATGTTTAAGCCTACTTTGGTAACTATGAGCCCTGACTCCATCAGTGCTTGATGTAGCCTAGAGCCCCAGGCCCAATGACACACTGGCCACAGGACCCTGGCTTCAAGGCTGGAGCTAACACTGTTGCTCATGTGTGTTTGGAGCACTGAGGGAATAGTTTGGCAGCTGTGTGCTGATTAAATGTCTTTGGCAAGGCAGCTGGCAGGAAAAGGCCTTGTGGAAACAAAGGCACCAAGGATCACCCAGCTCAGTGAAGGCAGAAGAGGTCACATGTGGATCAGCCTGTGTCTTTCAAGCAGAATCTGATTAAAGCCGGTAACACTGTAGGGCGAAGGTTCAGGGCAGATGTCAGCATAGCGCAATGGAGACTTTTTGCAGTGAAACTTTATCGATCCCTAGTGGGGGAGAGAGAGAGAGATGCAGCTTTAGCCCCAGTTCCTGGGAGTGCCAGGGCCTAACAACCCCACAGAGCAGATGCTAGAAATGCAAGGAGGTATGGACAAGTACTAGTATGGGGGCCACAGCAGTATTAAAATAGAAAGCATTACATCCACTCAGTGTGAGACATGAGGAAACCCTATGAGGGGGTGCTCCCTAAGAGGAATGTCTGTCACAGTCCTATGACTGCTTAAAGCCTGAAGATCTAAACATTTACCCTTCTGTTTACACTCCAGCAGGCCTGTGTTTTCATGGGAGATTTTATCCAGATTAAGGCCTATATAGTAATTCCTCTGAATGGAAATTCGGTGTTTCCTTCTGCCTTGTCATTTCACTTGCTCCTTGCTGTCACCCCATGCAGTAGGTTGAGTATTAGCCCATTTTATAGTCAGGCTCTTAGAAAATGTGTCTTAGCTAAGATCATCCAGTGAATGGGGCAGAGCCAGGACCCAGACCTTGAGGTTCTACCAGAGCAACACACTTTTGCCTTTCCTTGGCCACTATATTTCTGCAAGGCCTAGCTTGCTGGGGTGACTCACAAAGCCCTGAGTGACACTGACTTCCTTAGTGTGCTGGCTGACTTCTCCCTGGCTGCTCATATCATAAAAACACAAAGTTGGGTGCGGTGGCTCATGCCTGTAATCCTAGCACTTTGGGAGGCCAAGCCAGGCAGATCACTTGAGGTCAGGAGTTTGAGACCAGCCTGGCCAACATGGTGAAACCCATCTCTATTAAAAATACAAAAAAAAAAAAAAAAAAAGCTAGGCGTAGTGGTACATGCCTGTAGTCCCAGTTATTCGGGAGGCTGAGGCAGGAGAATCGCTTGAACACACTGCACTCCATCCTGGGCAACACAACCCCACAGAGGACTTGGACCACTGGCTCTGCTTGCCATTTCCTTAGCTAGAAAAGGAGAAAAACCCAGCAATACAATTTGAGGAAAACATGGTACCAAATCCAGTGCCATTTGAGGTAACAAACTCATCAGAACCCAAGTTGTGATGTGGGACTAATTATTTGCCTCAAGTCTTGGGGTAGTTTCTTTTTTGCTACGTCTCATAAATTTTTCCTCTTTTCTGTAATTGACCTAATTATTATCCTAAGCCAAACTTTCTTTTAGACAGACTCTTATCACCCAGGATGAAGTTCTATGGCACGGTCTCGGCTTATTGCAACCTCTGCCTCCTGGGTTCAAGCGATTCTCCTGCCTGAGCCTCCCGAGTAACTGGGACTACAGGCGTGTGCCACCATGCCTGGCTAATTTTTGTATTTTTAGCAGAGACAGGGTTTTGCCATGTTGGCCAGGCTGGTCTCAAACTCCTGACCTCAGGTGATCCACCCACCTCAACTTCCCAAAGTGCTGGGATTACAGATGTGAACCACTGTGCCTGGCCCTAGGCCAAACTTCGATCACCTCCTGCTCCTGACTCCTCTAGAGCCCTGGTTCTCACAGTGTGGTTCACGGAGCATCAGCATCAGCTGGGAGCTTGCTAGAAACGCAGTATTGCATTTGGAAATGGAACTAAAAGGAGATTGAGAGATGCTGAAATAATTAGAGGCAGTTTAAAAAAAGATAAAGGGCTCTGGAAGATTCCCAGTTACAACAAAGTAAATAATCCAAACCTACAGTTGGTTAGGACGTGCAGGCTTCTGGTTCACCCAGTAAAGTTAGGGACAGATCTTGTCCCAGCCAGTCTCACTCCCCCTATGAACTTCTAGGCTTTGCTCCTGCTGTTCACAGGAACAAAGCTGTCATGGTCATCACGCACAACGTACCTGAGGCATCGCTCGGATGGATGTGACACCAGCCTGGTCCTGTTGTGCTATCTGGACTGTGTAGTTACTGGGACTGCCCCTGGGGAGCTGGAGGCAGGCCCAGACCACCAATTTCCTCTGAAAGCTGCCTACACCCATAGTTGTGTTGGTCAGGACAAGCCCCAGGGGCCAGAGGCGGATTACTGCTTCCAGGAGCCTGGTCTGCAGTGGGGAGGTACTTAGGGAACCAGGAGCTTGAGAGAGGTGTTTTTCTTCCACATCATCCAGTTCTTCAGCAGCAAGGCAGGCCATTCTGATCTTAAAAATCAAACATCCCTTTATAGCTTTAGATTTATCTAGCCCTCTTAGCAGAAAATGGAAATCAAAACTAACAAATCATCTTAACAAGGTGAACCGAAGGCACCTGGTTTCGAACTGGCTGCTCTGAACCAAACTGGTTCCATATGGTACAAGTCTATACACCCCAGGCAATGGTGCTTAGGCCTTACATATGCCACTTGAAAACAAAGTTAACGGCCCATCGAGACATAACTGATAAGCTGTAAATCCCAGTCTTTTAAAGTGTACATCCCAGAGTTCACTATATTCCCAGAGTTGCTTATACCACTCTTTACCTTCACAACCACCCTGCAGGGTAGGTGTTATTGTGCCCATTGCATATTCAATATGAGGCTCACAGAGGCTGAATGACCTGCCCAAGGCCACCTGCATTGCAGTGGCAGAGCCAGCATTCCCACTCAGGTCCACCACCTGGTCCCCAAAATTGCTCCACTGCCCACCCCAACTTCTTGGGTATGTCTTACTCTCCACTTCTGCCACATGCGCTTGATGACTGTAGCAGCTGCGTGTAGCCTCTGGATGCGTTTCCGAGTTAACCAGGAACGAATGGCTAAGAGGTTTGCCCAGAAACAGAAAAGAGATAAAGGGGCCATTAGAGTGTTAGTGACCTGACTGCAGCAAAACCACAGTTGCTGTCAAAGTTTCAAATATATATTTTTTCAAGGCATGCCTACTTTGGGCTACAAATGAAATAAGGCAAAATTGGCTTTTAAACATTCCTTCCACTGCCTACACATTTGGATACACCTACACAGTGAAAGAGCACTGGGGAGTCTGGACTGGCTGAAGGCAAGGCAGTCACTTCCCGTCTCAGGCTCAGTCCAGGGCAGCACCCAGAGAACAGGAGGGGTCTGGATTGTCTGTGCCTTTAAAAATTGTGTTTTTTCGGGAGAGAAATCCAAGATGGCTGATCACTAGCAGCTCGGGATTGTAGCTCCCAGTGAAAGCGCAGAGAATGAGAGGACGCCACGCTTTCAGACGAATTTTTGTTGCTCACGGACCAGGAGATTCCCAGTGGAGGAGCCCCACGGGTCGCCAGCGCGACTCTTGTGGCCGGCGTGGCGGTTTTGCCGGCGCCTCGGCGCGGTGGTTCTTGGTGCAGAGTCAGAAAAGCACCATCAATCTTTTTTTTTTTT